AACCTTGCATCATTTTCTTCCCAAAGGCTCTCAGCCTGGACACCCCACAGACCTTGTGCTTATCATCGTCACCAGAATCCTCCCTGCCACAGCCACCTCCTGTCCCAAAGGCATCCTTCGGTGGCATTTCTTCATGTGCAAACACTAGTGATAAATTAAGTGAATGTGTTGCCACTGTACACATTGGCACTGATCCGTTTTCCATCACAATGAGGTCCTTCCCAACTCTAACTCTAACCAGGGCAGTTAGGCCATCCCAGCTCCTCATTCTCACTGACATTCTGCGTCTAGAAAACAACACAGGCAGCAAATGCTGAGTTAGCCGGCGGTCAGTCATGGAGGCAGAGAGCATGTGAGGTTTTGGAGCAGATGGATTTTGCAATGGAATCTGGTGCTTCTAGAATCATTAGAAGGGCCGTTGGGAGTGAAGGGAAAAGCACCCCTGGAAGTCAGGATATCAGGAAGTTACAGAAATCGCTAGAAACCATTGCCGATGATGCTACTTGTCAGCATGGGAGTGGACAGCACTCAGGAGGAGCTGGCAGTCTGAGGTGCTGTCTGGGTGTCCCTGTGCCCATCCTCGCAGCCACACCTTGAGAGCAGTGGCTTCTCCCTGGACCTGGCCTGCCAGGTCCCACCAGTGCCTCTCCCATAAGTGGCATGTAAACCCGAGTGCTGTGGCAATAGAACTGGGACATGGAGTTTCCAAGCTTCCAGCCGATGCGATGCCAGTGAGCCGAGAATGCCCATATCTGACACACACTGTTAAAGATAGACGATGATAATAGAACTTCCTTCAGATGGCAGTTGTGAGGCTCATGTGAAGCCTCAGTGCAGAGTGCGCCATATGGCGAGCCCTCGATAATTGCTGGTTTACAAAAAAGTGTCAAAACTGAAATCAGAATGGCTGCTTGTCTTATTTCTAACCCCTGTAAGGAGCCTGGCTGCTCCTGAGCGGTGGGGCCCAGCCCGCCCGCTCTGGCGAGGTTGCTGCCTCTCCCCATCCGGCCTGTTTGTCAGGTCCTCCCTGGGCTGAGAGGAGGTTCCGGAGAAAGGTGCAAGTTCTCAAGGGAAAACTGTGGCAGGGAGTAACGCTGAATTTTAATATGGGATTCCCAATGCTCTGCAGATGTGAGGACTGACGGACAGTCGGAGATGGGTCAGTCCTCTTATGGAAGCACAAGCCCCAGGCCCCGCCTGGCACCCCTGTCCAGAATGGGATCCGAGAAGCTGGGGCCGGGTCTCTGTAGCCTTGTGCTCAAATGCTGCAGGCAGCCTGAAACAGGAAGAATTGGGGCACAGCTGAAATCCAAACGGGAAAGCAAACAGCTAAGATCCATGGGGAACAATGTCTGTTTCTTAATCCGTCTCCTGCCCCAAATAGGTCTGCTCTCCTCCCCCAACTTGTGTTGACGTGTCTGTTTCTTTCCCTGGCAGCAGGTGCCACCAGGCCTTCAACTAGGTCAGGGGCAGTGATGAGCCCACACAGGCCCTCAGGCCATGTCCTCCCCTCGCCCTGCTCTCCAGGCTCCTCTCTTCATCCCCTCCCTGCAGCCCAACTGAGTGCTGTCAGAGGCCCCCATCCTTCCAAGGCAGCCAGGGACCCACTCGCCCCTGCTGTTTCCCCTGGGAAATCAAGAATGATATAGTTTGCCCAGAATAACTCAGCTGGGAAGTGGCAAAGCCCAGGCCCACAAGGACCAACTGCACATCCCTAGCCACCATTGTTGGCTTTCCTCCCAGCCTGCTGTGTCCCTCCCTGTGTCTCGGGACCATCTCTGCCCAGGACCAGGTCCTGATGGTGCCTTTCTCCCCACAGGTCCTGTCAGAGAATGGCTACGGCCCGATCACGACCGACATCCGGGAGGGACAGACATTCTACTACGCCGAGGATTACCACCAGCAGTACCTGAGCAAGAACCCTGACGGCTACTGCGGCCTGGGGGGCACCGGGGTGTCCTGTCCGCTGGGCATTAAAAAGTAACATCTCCCCATGTGGCTGGCCCTCGAAGTCACAGCTGAACGCTTCAGACAAATTGGGCAGTTCCGTGCTTCATGTCACTGGCTTTTAGAAACGCAGGAAGCAAAGAGGGCTTGGTAAACACCTGGTTTGTTGAGGTGTGATTTACATGAAGCGCCATGCCAAGCTGATAACACGTAATTTATCTCCTAATCAGCTGTGGTGGGAGTAGAGCTGTGAAATTCTTTGGATCATTTGGGTCTGAATGAGGATAATGAATACTCTGTGTTCACTTTTCTCCTGCTGGGGTGCCTGCCATGGAAGCCAGGGAAGGAGGGGAAGATGTTGGGCCGGATGGGGCATGCTGGAAATCCTCCATCTGAGCCTAGGCCCCTCACACATCCTGTGCCCTCCAGTGCCTTAAAATTCGCAAACATTTATAGCCTCAACGAATCATTCCCTGAAATACTTTGCTCTCTGGCCTTGTACATGTGTAAGGCGCGCTCTCTCTCCTCGGCCCTCCTGTGGCAGAGAACATGGGCGTGAGCTTGACGAATCCTAATGCGCTGCTTACAGCTATGAGAATTGCTTGTTCTAATAAAGGCTACAATCTAATAATACAAACTGTGTGATGTCTCATCTGTCTTTTGCTTGTTTGGGTAGGATATTCCTAAGCATTGTTAGATAAAGGCCTGAGTCATTCTTCCCCAAGTGGGAAATAAGATTGAAATTTTGGAAAACATGTACACCTCTGGCTCTTTGCAACTTTAGTAAGAATAACTGGTTTTCACATACATGATACAGCTATCACATTGGGGACTATGCTAGTGCAGAGTCTTTATACTCAAGACAAGAAGAGGTGGGGGCCTGAGCAGTAACCATGTAACCACATGAATAAATAAGACAATCATGGGCCCTGAGAAGTGACACGGAGGTGATTGGTAGCAGAAGGTAGTAAGTTGTGTCTGAGGTTGTCGCCTCGAGGGCTGTCTCACCCACTCTGGTCAGTGGAGGCCTCTGCAAAAAGGTGAAGCTTAAGTTGACAACTGAATGATCTTAATGATGCAAAGGAGACATGGAAACACAGGTTGTGGGAGGAGCGCAGAGCTATGTGGGGCAGGAGACGGATTAGGAAATAGACATTCCTCCCCATGGATCTTAGTCTGTCTCTTTCTTGTCCCTCTGGGATTTCTGCTGTCTCCTAAGCACAGATACACCTAATCACCGTCAGCTCCCCCACTTTGGTTACTGGAAGGAAATGCCTTCTAAATAGAACCACCAGGACATACAAATGGCAAAGACAGAGAGGAATGTGTACTGATGCAGAAACAAAAAGGCCAGGGCTGGAATAGTGTGAATTCATAAGGGTGGCGCCTCCATAGTGGGAGCTCCCTCACTTGGTCATGTGAGGACACAGCTCCGAGGCTGCTGTCCACCCTCCAGGAAGCAGGCTCTCACCAGACACCAGACCTGTTGGCACCTTGATCTTGGACTTCTCAGCCTCCAGAACTGTGAGAAATAAATGTTTGCTACTTAAGCCACCTAGTTTATGGTATTTTTGTTACAGCAGCTCAAGCTGACTGAGACAGTGGCCTGTGCTGATATCTTTTTGTTCCTCCAGATCCAGACTCAACACTTCTTCATTTTATCTTGCTCT